GAGTCACCGCGGCTGCTTGCCGCTCTGGTCCTTCTACCTCCAGGTATGAGGCCGCAGCGATGTGCGCCGCGGAAGAGCATGGGGAGGAGGGAGTTTTGCCAGGGCAATCCCCGCAAGCTTCCCGTTCTTCCCTTGCTTCGTGCTTACCGGTCGAGTTTCCGGATGAGTTTGAGAGCCCTTCCCTGGGTGGGCTCAATCTCTCATTCAGGGCTCGCGAGCAGGACGAGCTGTCGATCACAGCATCGGAGAGCGGGCTTGAGCCATCGGAAACAGATGACTCGGCTGAGCAAGCACCTATGGGCGCTCAGTCCTATTTAATACTGTAAAGTTGCTTGGACACAATCTGTATTGTTAAAAGCGCTATATAAATAAAGGTGACTTGACCACCCTCGATGGGGGTCCAGCAAGGGGATATACGGAGGTTCCCCAGGTGGAGAGAGCGATTGTGGTGCATCTTTGCCCGCAAAACGCTGCCACCTGGCGGGGCCGTCCGAGACTCCCGTTCAGGGCATGTAAGTTCTCTTCGTCCATAGTGGCGAAGGCTTATGCAGCTTCTGGTCAAGCTGCGTCCGCCCTGCACGCTATGGACATCCTGCAGGTCTACCAGGCCAAAGCGTTGAAAGAGCTGCACGAGGGTTGTCCCAACCCAGAGGTACTGCAGGAACTGCGCTCGGCGAGTGACTATGCCCTCTGGGCTACGAAGGTCACGGCGCAGGCTCTGGGGAGGGTGATGTCCACTTTAGTGGTCCAGGAACACCACCTGTGGCTCAACCTGGCTGAGATGCGCGAAGCCAAGAAAGTACACTTTCTTGACGCTCCCATTTCACAGGTTGGTATCTTTGGTGACAATGTGGAATAATTTGCCCAGCAGTTCTCCACGGTGAAGAAGCAGATGGAGGTCAACAAACAAATCCTTCCTCAGCGTGGGTCAGGTCCTGCTCCTGCACCCCCGAGTCAGCAGCCCCAGTCTGCTCGTCACCAGGGACGGCCCCCTGCGAGGATTGCTGAGGCCCCACAATAGCCTGGGCCTTCAGTCAAGCCTGACCAATGCCCCACCACTCGCAGGAAGGTGGCACCACCAGCTCGTCATCAGGGCACCAGGAACCTTCACAAGGCTTCAAACCTTTCCTGAGACGGGCGACCCAGGGAGGAGGGACCATCTGGCCAGCCTGGATCAACTTCCGGCAGGGGGAAGGGAGGTGGATTCAGCTTCACCACGGCTGTCTTCCACCTGACAGATAGCCACCACCTGGTCAATAGAAGAGCAATTTTCTTCTTCTCTGGGTCACACACACAGTGTTTTTGGCCCTCCCATTTGCGATGACCAGATGCTGAAACCATGCATCAGAATCTGTTTGGACACAGCCACTCTGTCTCCTCACGTTCAGCTGGTCAATAAAAGAGCAATTTCCTTCTTCTTTGGGTCACACACACAGTATTTGTGGGTCTCACATACACACCCTCCCATTTGCGACGGCCAGACGCTGAAACCATGCATCAGAACCTGTTTGGACACAGATACTCTGTCTCCTCACATTCAGATGCAAAGGGTCTATCACTCAGCCAACATGACGCATGCTGGCGAACTCATGTTCCCTCATCCGTCTGTGGCACATGTGACAGACCCTGCCGACAAGGCGCGGTGTGTTTTACACACCAGCTCGTCATCAGGGCACCAGGAACCCTCGCAAGACTTCAAAGCATTCCTAAGACGGGTGACCCAGGGAGGAGGGACCATCTGGCCAGCCTGGATCCAGTTTCGACGGGAGGACGGGAGGCGGATTCGGCTCCACCCCGCATGCTGGCGAACTCATGTTCCCTCATCCGTCTGTGGCACATGTGACAGACCCTGCCGACAAGGCGCGGTGTGTTTTACAGGACGTTTCACCTCCTACCACAGTGCTTTCCACTCTGCTCAGCCACAGGAACCCTGCCCGAGGTACGTCGAACATGGTTCCTTTGAGACCGTTGGCAGGGTATGTGGATGCTTGGTTAAGCCTCTCCAATCCCTCCCAATGGCTCCTTAGAACCATTCGGCTCGGCTATGCAATTCAGTTCACCATGCGGCCACCTAAGTTCAGCGGCATTCTGTTTACCTCAGTACGAGGCGAGAATGCGGGTGTTCTTCTGGCAGAGGTTGCAACCCTTCTCGAAAAGGGTGCAATCGAGCATGTCCCCCTGGCCGAAATGAAGAAGGGGTTTTACAGCCTGTACTTTATTGTACCCAAGAAGGGCGGGGGGCTCAGACCAATCCTGAATTTGAGGACTTTGAACTAGAGACCTGCGCGGGATGGATTTTTCAGTGCCGCTCCCGCAAGATTCTGTCCCGCGCCCGCCCGCTCCTGCAGAAATATATCTTATCTGGTCCCGCTCCCGCCCGCGACATTCATGTTTTGTCCCGCTCCCGCCCGCAAAAGCCCGCATAAAAGTAATCTATATAGACTTTTTCAGTACATCGAAGAAATTTACATGGAATCGTTCTGTAACATCTCCCTAGCTCCACAACATCCCAGCATAAACACTCCCGATAAAATATTTGTTATTTAGGCTAAGCATCAACATTAAACCACTGTTATTTTTAACAGAAAAGCAAGCATGGGCTGCTGCGTGCATGGTTTGGCATGGCAGAATGCGAGCAGCACTTCCTTTATTATCGCTAAAATTGGTTTGTGGCAATAGACCTGAAGGATGCATACTTTCATGTCTCAGTCCTACCAAGGCACAGGCCGTTTCTTCGGTTTGCCTTCGAAAGACGGGCATTTCAGTACAAAGTTCTTCCCTTCGGGCTGTCCCTGTCTCCTTGTGTCTTTACGAAGATCGCAGAGGCTACCCTTGCCCCTCTCAGGGAAGTGGGCATTCGCATTCTTAATTACCTCGACGACTGGCTGATCCTAGCTCACTCGCGAGAATTGGTTTGCGCACACAGGGACATGGTCCTCGATCACCTAGCCCGATTGGTACTTCGGGTCAACTGGGAAAAGTGCAAACTCTCCCCTGTGCAGAGTGTCTATTTTCTCTGTGTAGAATTGGACTTGGTTACGATGACTGCACGCCTCTCTCAGGATCGTGTTCAGTCGGTGCTGAAATTCTTGAGGGCTCTCAAGCAGAGAACAGCGGTCCATCTCAAAAACTTTCAGAGGCTCCTGGGGCATATGGCGTCCTCAGCCACAGTCACGCCGCTGGGACTGATACATATGCAAGACCGCTTCAGCAACCCATCCAGAGTTGTCCCACGCCGCACCATGTTGCGTTGGGTCCCGCGGGTCCCGCGGTACTCCCGCGGGAGTGCAGGTCTCTACTTTGAACCGGGCCCTTTCAGTCGGTGCTGAAATTCTTGAGGGCTCTCAAGCAGAGAACAGCGGTCCATCTCAAAAACTTTCAGAGGCTCCTGGGGCATATGGCGTCCTCAGCCACAGTCACGCCGCTGGGACTGATGCATATGCAAGACCGCTTCAGCACTGGCTTCGTACCCGAGTCATGGCATGGCATCACGTCTCACACCGTGTGAACATCACACCATTGTGTCGCCATACCTTCAGTCCTTGGGAAGACATCTCTTTTCTACGGGCAGGAGTGCCCTTAGAACAGGTGTCCAGACACATTGTTCTTACAACAGATGCTTCCAAGACAGGCTGGGGCACCGTGCGCAACGGGCATGCAGCATCAGGGATCTGGACAGGCTCTCGGCTGCATTGGCATATCAATTACCTGGAGTTGTTGACAGTTCTTTTGGCCTTGAGGAGGTTTCGACCCTTGATCCAAGGCAACACTTGTTGGTCCAGACGGACAACACAGCGACGGTTGCATACATCAACCACCAGGGTGGTGTTCGCTCCCATCGCATGTCACAACTCGCCTGCCATATTATTTTACTTTGGAGCCAGCACAGACTCAGGTCTCTTCATGCTACTCATATCCCAGGCGACCTCAATCATGTAGTGGATCTCTTCTTGCGACAGATCTTTCTCGGGGGCGAGTGGAGGCTTGACCCCCAAACGGTTCAGCTAATTTGGAATTGGTTTGGCCAGGCACAGGTGGACCTGTTTGCTTCGTCGGAATCGACCCATTGCCAGTTGTGGTACTCCCTGACGGATGCACTGGCTCACAGCTGGCCCAGGGACCTACTCAAGTATGCATTTCCCCCAGTGAGCCTCATTGCACAGACACTGTGCAAAGTCAGGGAAGACGGAGAACAGCTCCTGCTTGTGGCCCCTTATTGGCACAACAGGACCTGGTTCTCAGAGCTTGTGCTCATGGCATCAGTTCCTCCCTGGTGAATTCCCCTGAGGAAGAACCTCTTTTCTCAGGGGAAGGCTACAATTTGGAATCCGTTCCCGGATCTCTGTAACCCTCATGTTTGGTGTCTGGACGCGACCAGGAGGAACTCAGAGACCTTTCACCAGCAGTGGTGAATACCATTACTCAGGCCAGAGCCCCGTCAACGAGGCGGCTGTACGACCTGAAGTGGCGCGTTTCCATGAATTGGTGTTCTTCCCAGGGGAAGGACCCTCGGAGATGTGGCATTGGATCTGTGCTCTCCATCCTCCAAGGAGGCCTGGACAGGCACCTGTCTGCTTCTACACTTAAGGTGTACGTGGCCGCGATTGCGGCTAAACACGACACCGTGGGAGGCAGATAGGTGGGGAAGCACGATCTGGTTATTAGGTTCCTCAGAGGCACCTGGAGGTTGAACCCTCCGTGGCCACGTCTCATTCCCTCTTGGGATCTCACTGTGGTCTTACAGGCCTTACAGAGAGATCCGTTTGAGCCCCTTCAGTCAGTTGAGTTCAGTGCCCTCTTTATGAAGACGGCCCTCCTGGCTGCGCTCAGTGCGAGCCCTACGCACATACCTAGATCCCACTCAGAGTTTCAGACGTTCTGAACAGCTCTTTATCTGCTTTGGAGGACAGCAGAAGGGGAATGCTGTCTCCAGACAAAGGATCTCCCACTGGATTGTGTATGCGATCCTAATGGCCTATCAGGCCAGAAGACTTCCTTGCCCACTGGGAGTGAGGGCTCACTCTACCAGGGGCATTACTGCATCAGCTGCCCTGGCGAACGGGGCCTCTCTAGCAGATATCTGTAGAGCTGCATGTTGGGCTACACCTAATACATTTTCTAGATTTTATAATCTACAAATGGAACCAGTTTCTTCTAGAGTTCTGAACATCAGTTCTTTGACTCAGGAGACTGACAGAGTGTAGAGCTTGCTACCAGCGCTACTCACCCCAGGGTAATTATGCACTTATTCAGTCCAGCTCAGGTTCCTTTCATGAATTCTGGACAACCCTTCCGTCACATAAGCACTTTTTCTTAGCGAAATTCGACGGAGGAACTTGCTATTAGAACTCATTACGAGGTAGGTTCCCTCGAGTGAACTCTTGTATTGGGTTAGTGCTCCACATGTAGTGGCTCCTCTTGAGGCCCCATGTGTGTATTCTCCACTGTATAGCCCCTAAGGCTCAGTGTTCCCCTAGACAGACATTCTGTCGATAGATTCTGGGTCTTGGTAGATCTCCCCAGTACCTTCCCTATGTGGTACTTCCTCTGTAAGTCCATAGGTGGATCTTCACATGTTACCTCCCCATCAGGTAGGATGTGATCTCCGTAGTGCCTTTTCCCAAGGGGGAATAGTCACTGTCCCAACGTTACTACTAAGACTTTCCAGCTGTTATATTATGGTGAGTATTACTATGGGAAAAGACTCCGGCTGAGGGGATCTCTGCCTCTATGGTGGCTCTCCCAGATGTTGGAGAGTGAGGTCATAAAGGGTTAGTTCACCCAAAAATGAAAATTAGCCCATAAATTACTCACCCTCAAGTAATCCTATGTGTATATGACTTTCTTCTTTCAGACAAATCCAGTCGGAGGTATATTAAAAATTGTCTTTGATTCAGGAGACTGACAGAGTGTAGAGCTTGCTACCAGCACTACTCACCCCAGGGTAATTATGCACTTATTCAGTACAGCTCAGGTTCCTTTCATGAACTCTGGACTACCCTTCCATCACATAAGCACTTTTTCTTAGCAAAGTTCGACGGAGGAACTTGCTATTAGAACTCATTACGAGGTAGGTTCCCTCGAGTGAACTCTTGTATTGGGTTAGTGCTCCACATGTAGTGGCTCCTCTTGAGGCCCCATGTGTGTATTCTCCACTGTATTGCCCCTAAGGCTCAGTGTTCCCCTAGACAGACATTCTGTCGATAGGTTCTGGGTTTTGGTATATCTCCCCTTATGCGGAGCCCACCCCATTACCTTCCCTATGTGGTACTTCCTCTGTAAGTCCATAGGTGGATCTTCACATGTTACCTCCCCATCAGGTAGGATGTGATCTCCGTAGTGCCTTTTCCCAAGGGGGAATAGTCACTGTCCCAACGTTACTACTAAGACTTTTCAGCTGTTATATTATGGTGAGTATTACTATGGGAAAAGACTCCGGCTGAGGGGATCTCTGCCTCTATGGTGGCTCTCCCAGATGTTGGAGAGTGAGGTCATAAAGGGTTAGTTCACCCAAAAATGAAAATTAGCCCATAAATTACTCACCCTCAAGTAATCCTATGTGTATATGACTTTCTTCTTTCAGACAAATCCAGTCGGAGGTATATTAAAAATTGTCTTTGATCTTTCAAGCTGTTTCATGGCACTCAGGGATTTGTAAAGAAGAATGTCGGAGGATTTCGATATAAGCCAAGAGGAGACTGGTTTTCCTCTGCTAAAGTAAGGAAACTTTGCTTCCTTTGCTCCTGTTAACAAACGCTGGTTTTCACGAGACTAACTGGCGCATGCGCAGCACTGACCTCATACCTCATCAGACCGGAACTGCTTCCGTGTACAACTGTTGGCGCAAGCTACAATATAGTGATTATTACATTTTAAATATGGATATAAACATATACACCTAGGATGACTTGAGTGTGAGTAATTTATGGACTAATTTTCATTTTTGGGTGAACTAACCCTTTAAGTCTTGAGCGCT